ATTCAGTCAGTACAGTCATATGTGGTACATCCATTAGCATAACAGTACAGTAAACAGTAGGTCTTAAAAGACCGAGCAGTAAATGATAGCCATCAGTCAGTAACAGTAGTGGTTCCAACAAGGGAACCGACAAAGATCTCTGTAACAGTAACAGTGAACAGTGAACAGTAGGTGCTAAGGATGCCACAATACAGTTCAGAATATAGGACATACATTCATTCAATTAACAGTAGTCAGTTCAGAACGCAGTACAGTTCAGTTGTTCAGAAAACAATCATTTGTAAACATATCTTTACACAATTGTTACTCACAGAGTTCTGGGCTACAGTATGCTAGAGCGTGTCTCCCCAGTCGCCAACCCTACACAGTTAACAGATTAGACCGAGCAGTAATGATGGCCATCAGTTAGTAAACAGTGGTGGTTCCAACAAGGGAACCGACAGAGAATTCTGTCACAGTAACAGTAAACAGTAGGTGCTAAGGATGCCACGATACAGTTCAGAATATAGGACATACATTCATTCAATTAACAGTAGTCAGTTCAGAAAGCAGTACAGTTCAGTTGTTCAGAAAACAATCATTTGTAAACATATCTTTACACAATTGTTACTCACAGAGTTCTGGGCTACAGTATGCTAGAGCGTGTCTCCCCAGTCGCCAACCCTACACAGTTAACAGATTCACACACTAAGCTGCACAGTTGGGAAATAATAACTTAATCCCTATCTTGACTCGGTGTGGTTCTCATCTATATCCTCAGTAAGATGCCTTAAACTAGGCCTAAGAATGCCTAGAATGGGATGAGGATGCAAAGATGCACTTTTAAAAGCATTTTTAGAGTTTTCAGAAAATAGAGTCCCGCTCGAGCGCAGGTTTTCCCCGCTCGAGCGGTCATGCAAAAAGGTACACGCTCGAGCGTCAACTTTCCCGCTCGAGCGTACTGTAAAAGTACTGGATGGGTGAAATCTCCGCTCAACGCCCGCTCGAGCTTGAGACACATGACTCCGCTCGAGCGGACTGTAAAACAGTGCAGAGAAATAACTGGATGCTCGGATTCCACGCTCGAGCGCCACTTTCCCGCTCGAGCG